GATTTTGGACGTGCCCTGCCCTGCCTAGGCGCTGCCTGCGAGCCTCCTACTCGCGTTGTCCTTAACGTTCGTAGTTCTTCTGCCCGTTCACACGCCTGTGCCCTAGCGAGTGGCTTTGGCTTGCCTGTTACTGCGTCCGCCGTAACATCTTCTTTATAGCTACGTTATAACTAGTACGCTTAAAGAAGGCTTTTAGCGAAATCTTCTACAGCATTTTAATAGTACGAGAAGGTGTAGTATAAGAAATTAAATAAAAAAATAGTAGAAAGTTCTAAAACTAATAGTAATAACGCTAAGAAAATAATAGTGCTGTAGTAATAGCTAAGGTAGTTAAGTAGGTTTGACTTCGTAGTACAACTATGCCTTTATAGTGTAAAGGTATAGCACAAGCTACCTTGCCAAGGTGAGACGGCGCTAGCGTCGTAGGACACTAGGGCGCATAATAGGGGGACCTATTTTGTCCTTAGTCTTTAAGAGACAATTCCGTCCCCCTTCCAAAACGAGCTCTAGGGCCAAAACCTGCCTCCAAGCATCGCTCTCGCCTAGACTTAACGGAATCGTGAGAGTATGGCCGACGCATAAATGAGTACGATTAGCTGTTAGGGGAGCGCAGGGCAACGTAACTGAGCAGCGGGTGAGCAGCCTGAGGGTGGGTGAGCCGAGGGTGATTAGCGCCTGAGTAAAAGTAGCGCCGCTTACTAGCCACAGTAGGAAAGAGAGTGCTAGAGAAATTTGACTGTCTACTTATATATACATAAGTTATGCCTAGTCTAATTACACTGCCTACATTACTTTTAACTTAGCTTACCTTTTTTAGTGCGCACTTGCGTCTTTAGCTTCTTCTTATTACTACACACTTTAAACTCCTTTAAAGCAGTTAAATAAGCCCTATCTTTAACTATTAAGGTCTTTTTTGCTTAAATTTACTTTCTTTTATATAATTTATGTTGTGTAGTAGCTTTATTTACTACTTAAAGCTTTATAATTTTATAGCTTACTTTATTATATTAATACTTTAAATAACTATTATTTACTTTTTATTACTTTACTATATTACCTTTAGCTATTCTTATCTCTCTAAAGCTATAATAACTGCTCTAGTTAGTATCTAGCTTATTATAAAGCCTAACTTGTTAAAGTTATACCTGTCTTTATCTTAGATACTATACTTAGCTTTTATGTTAGCTACTAGGCAAAACTAGCCCTAGATAACCTCTAGAT